ACCGTGAGCAGTGATTAGGAGGATCCCTGAAAGAATTCATATCCAAGTGGTACCCAAAAGAAATTGCCAGAAGACAGATCAAACCCACTTGAAGTAAAGCCTCAGAAATCACATAAAAATAAACTTGATGAATCAAATGCATTTTTTTTAAATAGAAAGGTGAAGGGTAGCAGAATTAAGAAGTCAACAGCCAAATTTAATCAGGAAGCTCCCTTCCCCAAACTCTTGTTATAAATAGCCACCAACACAGAGATCAAAAGAAGGTAGGTACACATGCTCTGTCCTCACACAGTGTTCCCAATTAAAGAGGGACATGTTATCATTATTTCCAAAGCAATAATTTTTTTAAGTGCTCCTAAATTTATTTTGCTTGACTATGTCTATCTGTTACAAAGGTTTTATTTTCCTTTTGTTTTTCTTTTTAGGAATTGGAGTGAGAAAAAACAAATCCTTAATTTAAAAAATAATTCATTAAAAAAGGTAAAGTTTCCCCTCCTTTACCATCCCCAGGTCAGATATGTTTTGAGTTATGTTGGTTGGGATTTAGATTAGAATCATATCATGATAATTCCATTCAGGAGTTAAAATAGTCCCCTGATGTTCCTTCCTCCCCAGGGCAGAGCTCCATGCACCAATATTATCAATTCTACCTATCAAGGTTAAGTAAGTGATTTGGAGCATGGGTCCTGACCAGTGCCATACATGGATTTAAGGATATTAAAAGATCGGGATGTACAAGGGGCCTCCGGAATACTCTGTAATCTGAATTTTCTATATGTGGGGTTTGTGTGCCTGTTAGGGGGCAGGTGGGAACAGAAAGGATGTATAGGTGTGGTCTGGGCCAATGATTTCATAGATTAGAAAACTATTCCTGAAAAAGCACCTTCTGCCAATGAAGGCTGGCACCTTCTCTACAATTTAATCTTATAGATGGTTGCCTGACTACAGTGAAAGGTGATGTCATCTGCCAAAGTAAAATAACTAAGATGTGTAAAAAGCAAGATGTCACCGCAGGTCTTTCTGACCCTGAGTTCAGCTCTCTATCCATTACCACAGGCCGCCTCTCTGTATCTGGATGCTTGTTCCTAGAATCTTTTCTTGAATTCCTTCTTATGTCAGATAATGGAAAGAATATTGGCTAAGGAGTGGAAGGACCTGGGTTTAGATACTACCTCTGATGCTTACTACCTGTGTGACCTTAGAAAAGTCATTGCATTTTTCTGGGTCTCAGTTTCCCCCTCTATAAAAGGAGTGGTAGTGGAAATAAATTATCTCCAAGGCCTCTTTCCAGCTCCAGATTTATGATCCTAAATTTTGTTAACCATTAAAGTTAACAGTACTTGCTAAATGGCCACACAGATTTTTATTAATAATTATTTAATTAACATATTACTTAACTACTGTCACCATTATTTAATTTATTTTGTTATTTATTTATTATTTGATGTTATTATAATAACTGATATTAGTAATGTTAATATTATTGATGTTGGTATTACTATTATTAATAATGATGAGATGAGAACAAGATAATAACCACAGGAGGAACCTGCTTAAATATATCTCTGGCAGGATGAAAATCACAGTAGTCAAATATGCCTAGCACAATAATAAAAAACAGACTTGAGAGTAGGTCATTTTACATCCCCAATGCAAAACCACATAATTAATTAGTCTGTGCTTTACCTGGATGGTCTGAGAGATAGGAGAGCATCTCTGGCTAGGATTCTGGCTTGGCTTCTTCTACTATCATTATATCAATGAAGCCAAGAGCAAATAATTTAATTCTTTTATCACTTGCTCTAGAAAGAGGAAAACTTCCAAGAAAATACAAACTAGGTACTTGGTAAGTATCTGTTTAAGAAGGAATATATGTGTGTGTGTGTGTGTGTGTGTGTGTGTGTGTGTGTGTGCGTATGTATCTATAGTGCCTAGACAGTGCTTCCATTAGACTGGGAACTCCTTGAGGGCAAGTACTATCTTTTGCCTTTCTATCCCCCCCCCACTTAACACAGTGCCTGGAACACAGTAGGCACTTAATAAATGCTTGCTGAAGAACCAGGAGAACATTGTACACAGTTAGCAGCAACATTGTACAACGACCAACTTTGATAGACTTATCTCTTCTCAGCAATGCAATGATCTAAGACAATTACAAAAGACTCATAATGGAAAATGCTACCCACACCCAGAGAAAGAACTATGGAGTCCAAATGCAGATGGAAGCATGCTATTTTCTCTTTTTGTTGTTGTTCTTTGTTTTTTCTTTTTCATGGTTTTTCCCTTTTGTTCTGATTTTTCTTTCACAACATGACTAATGTGGAAATATGTTTAATATGATTGTACATATATAGCTTATATCAGATTGCATGCTGTCTTAGGGAAGAGTAAGGCGAGGGAGGGGGGAAAATTTTGAACCCAAAATCTTATAGAAGTGAATGTTGAAAATCAAAAATTAAAAAAAAATAAGAAAAAAAATGCTTGCTGACTGATTTATATGGAATGTCTTTGGTTACAATCTGATTAGCACTCAATTATATCCTATCTTATCTTGTTGACTCATTTCCTCCTACATATTAGTTCTGTCACCTGAATGACAAAGTTCTCTGCCCTCACAGAAATTACAATGGCATTAAATGTCTTGCACATAGGCGTTCTATAAATATTTGTTGATAATTTAACTGATAGTTGCTCCTGGTAACATCCATTGAAGATCATACACTTGTAAGATATACTATATATAGTAGTTCACATTTAAATAGCACTTTATATGTTACCACCTTTAGTCTCCACAACAAGGTGCTATTATTATCCCCATTTTACAGATGAGGAAATTGAGCCTGAGATAGGTGAAGTGACTTGCCTAGGGTCACTCAGCCTAGCTGAGGCTGGATGTGAACCGACTTTTCCTGACTCCAAGCCCAGCCCTCTATCCACTGTACCACCTAGCTGCCTACTATAATATTCCTTTTCAGTAACAGGTTAGACCAAATGGCCATTGAGATCTCTTCCAACTGTGATAAATCTCTTAAATGAATTAATAGCTCACCACAGTGCCATATCAAAAAGTGGTTATGGAAAGAGGTCAGTGTTGAAACCCACTTAGCTTGGGACCACAAAAACTCCAAGAACATTTGAACCAATGAACTATAGCAGCAAGAGGCCCCAGTGGGTCTTAGAGGTCAATTCTATGGGGTGATCTTTTCTAACACGCTTCTCTTCTCAGAAGGGACTTGTAGCTGGTAGTTATAAAATGTATGGATAACATGTTGATTTACAGATGTGTCTCATACTAACTGTAAGTATCCTGACAATAGTATATCAAGGTGGTATAACAAATTATGCTGCTTTCCTTTTATTTTTTTAAAAGGCAATTGGGGTTAAGTGACTTGCCCAGGGTCACACAGTTAGTAAGTGTCAAGTGTTTGGTCTGAGGCCAGATTTGAACTCAGGTCCTCCTGACTTCAGGGCTGGTGCTCTATCCATTGTGCCACCTAGCTGCCCCCTGCTTTCCTTTTTATGAGGACACTTTGGAAGATTAACATCTAGAAGACCACATATGAACATAGAAACAAAGAATAGTAGCTCTTGCCAGCTGATGCAACCTTTAATTTTAGGCATCTTTCAATTCAAGGAATATTTTTAAAATTTTATTTTTAATAGTATTTTTTCCCCAATTACTCACACATAAAGACAATTTTTAGCATTCATTTTAAAAAAATTTTGAGTTCCAAAGTTTCCCCCTCCCTCCTTAACCTCCCCAAGATGATAAGCAATTTGATAAAGATTATATATGTGCAATCATATAAAATCAAGGAATATTTTATTAAACCCCTAGTGGTACAAAGAAAGCTCTGGGAATACAAAGAAAGAGACCTTAAGGATGTTACATTTAGCTGTCAAGGGTGGTGAAGGAAGGAAAGAGAATATCACATACAGGCAATTCAAGAAAGAGATAGTACCCAACTAGCAAGCATAGAGTACCAGGGAAGGCTTTATGGAAAAAGTGGTACCTAAGTTGAGCTTGGAAAAAAAATAAGGATTTTGAGAGACAGAGGTGAGGATGGAGTCCACTGCAGACATTAGAGACAACTTGTGCCAATGCATGGGGGCAACAGCTAGAAAGTAAGTTTGGGGAAAAACAATTGAAAGTCTAGCTTGACTGGAGTAGAGGAAGTAAAGGGAGGCAATATGAAATATGGCTGAAAAGGAACCAGATTGTGCAGGGACTTAAATGCTGAGGGATGTGTACGCTTTTGTTCTTTCAACCTATAAATATCCAACTGGTCTCCCAAACCTCCTCATTTACTAGAACACACCCTCATTTGGTGCTCTCCAATTAGAAAACATACACAGAGCACCCATTTGACTTTGTTTCTCTCTCTCTTTTTTTAAACTCTGATGTCCTTTCCATTCCTTAAATTAGTCCCAGCCAAGGTTTAAATTCAATATGTACATTGTTTTAATTATAGATGCTTTGGGCTTTCATGGTTCTGAAAGATTATAGCCTCTCTAAACCACACCTATATTTGGTCTGAAAGACTGGTGGCTTTTTTATAGCAATCTCCACCTCAAATATCTGCTTCAGGTTAAGCAAAATTTGATGTGAGGCTTAACCCACTTGTCCAAAAAACCAGATGGGTTCGGTTTCTGCTTTACAAACTAAGAGTTCTCAGACAATTCAGAGTTCTCTGAAGACCTGCCTGACTATAAATATTTGCAGTCACACCTAAAACATCGTTCATATCCATCGCCCCACAAAATTAGGGAGGTAAAAATAGGGAGAAGGAAAACAAATAGGTAGAGGACTATTTACAGTTAGCATCAGAAGAGGTACAACTCTATGAATAAAAATACACCTTTTGGAAGAGCATTCCCAGCAATGTAAAAATAAACTAAAAAGTACACGTTTAGGCTGCACACATTTAATACAACTAAGAACTACTGAGAAAAACTGACCAAGGGTTATGGTAAACTTGAGGTAGTTTGGGGTTACTTACTTTTGGTGCACATTGGAAGTGCATTCCAGGCACAGGTAGGGTAGTAACATACATGGTAATACATCGATACAGGTATAAAGTGCCCATTATAAAAAAGAATCTCCGTCCCACTATTGACCTAAGAATGAGGAGGAGAGAGTGGGGAGAAAGCTAATTAACCACCAGCAGTTGGTTTTTTCATTCATAACAGCAGTTCAAACAACACTTAACAGGATGAGGGATAATTGAACTCAGGACTTTGGTGAATGGACCAAATTTTAAAAGAAAAAAAAAGTCGTGTTTACAAGAGAATCCCAACAGGTGGGATTTAAACCCAGGTCTTAGGATTCCAGAATTCTTTCCAGATACATCACATATATCAAGCTGATCTCTTACCTGAGTCACAGTAGATAAGGAAGCTCTTAGTCAGATCACTTTCAGCAATCAAGTCTTCTCTTGGGAACATAGCAAAGGTATAACCAAGAGAAAGATACAAAGGAATTGACTAAAGAACCAAGTTGATATTAAATAATTGGCCATGTAGGAAAATATGAGATCTAATTTAAATCAGATTATAGGCAAGGATAATGGGAGGGGGGCACACTTGCGTGCGCGCACGCACACACACACACACACACACACACACACACACACAAAGAAATCATTGCCATGCCTTTCATGTGCATTAAACATTCTTTTCCTCTAAATGTTACATTTTAAATGAATTCAGTTTTGAAGACATTTGAAATGTTCCTGGCTAGTCGAGCCTATCAACCCGAAGTGAGGGAGACTAATTATTTTGTTCCTGGTGTTTTACTTAGGATTTCTGTGCTTTCTGAAGTTTTTCAAATTTCACTTCCTAATCAAGAAACATATCCTACCCCAGACCTCTTCTGTCTCATATCTAAATTAGAGAGCTTTGTCCTCACTTCACCATCCGCATACAAATAGTTAGCCTTCTTTTTCACATTTTTAACCCAAGCTTTTACTTTGATTGTCAACAGCTCTCCATCTAGTTTTCCTATGGGGAAAGTAGCAGCCTCATTATGAACTGCTGTCCCAACTTTAAATAAAAGAGGCAGTCCTGAGTAACCAAAGAAACTATGGAACTCAGCTCTTTGCACTCCCCTGAAATTCCTGTTCCTGGGATATGGGCAGGTGATTTTATAGCTTCAGGGCTCACGGTTCTCCCTACGAACCAAGTGGGATATGAATGTGACACCTCCACCCCTCTCCCAAATCTCATTATTGGCCATATAGGGAAATATGACATTTAATTTAAGTCAAATTATATAGATAAGGATAATGGGGAAGGGGCACAAAAAAATTATTTTTCACTTCCATTAAATATACTGGCCAAGACTTCCATTAGTGAGTCTCTGGGCTAAAGGACATCATATGTACCTATATCATAAATAGCCACATTGAAAACTGCTTTTTCTTGAACATTTTGATATTCACCTTTTAAGGGAATGTTAAAGAATCCTAAAATCATAGAGAAAGAAGAAACTGTCCATTTAGGCTAATGATTCTTAACGTAAGATCAGTGAACTTGTTTTGTTTTTTTTTTAATATTTTGAAAAGTGTATTTCAATATAATTGATTTTCTTTATAATCCTGTGTATTTTATTTTATATATTTAAAAACTTCATTCTGAGTAGGGGTTCATAGGTTTCAGCAGAATGCCATAGAAGGCTATAACACACAAAAGGTTAAGAACTCCTGATCAGGTTCAATCCTTTCATTTGATGGATTAGGAAAATAAAGTTTCCTCAGCATAAAAATTGGACAATAAAATATTACACCCTTTTCCAGCTCAGGCATTCAGTCATTCATTCGATTTGTACATGCAAGATATTATTCTGGGTGCACAGGGAATGTGTACAAGGATACACAATTCCTACCTCCAAAACTTACAATTTTTAGATCTTTTCTATCAGAGGTTGACATTGTCAAGACTGTTACTAGTCAAGGGCAAAGAAATTCTGGTAAAGCAAGCAAAATGGCAAGCCTGTAACAGTGCTTGGCATATAGTAGGAGTTTAAATGCTTGTAGATTCACATTATGACAGATTTAATTATTTTTAAGAGCTAACTTAGCTGTGAGGACCCTTCATTATCATTAGACTGTATTCTACTTGAAGACATAGACTGTTGACTCTGTATCCTGAGGACTCAGGCCAGTGCCTGGCATATAGTAGGTGTTTTATAAATGTTTATTGACCAATTCATTACATACATAAAAACAAATACCAATTCCCTGTGACATAGGAAATGATGCAACGTATTTTATGTGACATGTTGAATATACTGTCCAAATTCAATAGTTATTTTGAGAAAATAAGTAGGGACATTCCAACAAAGTTACTAGGGACACAAACAGGGTGGTGTCCCTACCACCTACTGTGGTCAAAGAAACTACTTGTTTATAATGAAGTATTTACTTCAAAGGTTTGCTTTTCTAGGCTTGCTTTTCCAGTATCAACATTTAATAGTGCTGAATTTGTCCCAGTGGTTACTTAATAAACGAAGGTGGTAGGGGGAGAGAAAGGCAATCCATTTTCTTCCCTGAACAAATCCCACTCCAAAATTCATCTATTGCTTTGGCTGGAAATGTCATCTGTCAAACTGTGTTCTATGTTTTCCTAACGAGTGAAGTAATTAAGAAGAAATTTTTTGTGACATGAGAATTTGCATGTCCCACATTCTGCATCTGGCTGCTCAAGAGGATACAGAAATTCACGTGGGGAAGGGGAATTTGCCAACTGCAACATCAAATAGAGGAGGAAGGCACTTATGGCTCTCCTCATAAGTTCTACATTATATTATTCATACCGGGACAGCAATCTGAGTGTCTGCTGAGAACTTTGCAAATGGTTGTAAAGGTTTTTCTACCAGGAAGTACTGGGACAACCCCTCCTTGTTTCTTCCCACACTACTTTTTTCCCTTAAAATAGGGGCTCTTAACCTGAGGTCTATAGTGTGTTTTTTTTTAAATATATATTTTAATAATTGTCTTGTTTTTCAGCCTGATTGGTTTCTTTTGTAATCCTATCCTATTTTATGCATTTAGACACATGATTCTGAGGAGAGTTCATAGGCTGCAGACAAAAGGATCCAGGACACAAAAATGGTGAAGAACTCTCGGTCGAGGATGACAGGGGTCTGCGGATGGATTTCAGGGGTCCGTGAGCTCTTATTTGGGGGGAAGGGTGGAGTTACATTTTTATTTCACTAATCTCTAATTGAAATTTGGCTTTTCCTTCATTTGCGAATGCAGGCAACAAACCATTATTCTCTGAAGGGGTCTATAGGTTTTACCAGACTGTCAAAGGGGTCCACAACAAGAACCTCTCATCTAAGGCATAGGCTGATTCTCTTTCAAGTGATTGACTGTGGTGAATGATTAAAACAGTAGACTGGTCATTTAAATGTATGGCATTGGAGGAAAGGCTAACAGAAATAGTTCTCTGATTTTATCTCCCAATTATAAATGTAAGTTTTCACTAAAATTACAGCTATTCTATTAGCCTTGCAAATTCATTTAAAGACTCTAGTGACAGAGTGCTTCAGGGTGTGGGGTCAACAGCCTGGGAAGCTCCGGCAAGTAAGTCTTCTTCCCTCTTCCAATTACACAGAATACACTACATTTTTACATTGTTGTTGTTGTTAACACAAGAGTTTTTGTTCTTGTTTAGTTGTTTTCAGTCACGTCCGACTCTTCATGACCCCATTGGGGGTTTTCTTGGCAAAGATAGTGGAGTGATTTGCTATTTCCTTCTCTAGCTCATTTTACAAATGAGGAAACTGAGGCAAACAGGGTTAAGTGAGTTTTGCCCATGGTCACCCAGCTAGTGAGTGTCTGAGACCCGATTTGAACTCAGGTCTTCCTGACTCCAGGCCTGACGCTACGTTCACTGTGCCACCAAGCTGTCACAATACATGAGTACAAACAAACGAATAAATTTTCCTATAACTATAGATAGGAAAACCTGTGGCCTGAGAAGGAGACAGCATACGATCAAGCAAGCCCTGGGCAGGGAATACAGGCATTACTGCTACTGACCGGAGTAACCAAGTGCAGATGAACCAGACTGATCTCCTCATCTGTAATATCGTTACGCGAGGGCTCATCTATGGAGAGCTAGATGGCATCTCAGAGACCATCTAGTCCATTTATAGATGAGCAAACTGAGTCCCAGCAAAGTGAAGTCACTTGGTCAAGGTCACGCAGGTAGGACTTGGAGGTGAGGTCTAAATCCAAGTCTTCTAACTCAGAGATCTTCCGCTGCCTCTCCAGACGACTGGACCATATCAGGAGTTCTTTTTTTTTTGGCTAGGAAATGGGGTTAAGTGATTTGCCCAGGGTCATACAGCTAGTCAGTGTTACGTGTCTGAGGCCACATTTGAACTCAGGTCCTCCTGACTTCAGGGCCGGTGCTCTATCCACTGCACCACCTAGCTGCCCCCATATCAGGAGTTCTTAACCCCTTTTTGTGACATAAACCATTCTCCCTCCCTTCCCCTTTCTGATAGTCCGGTGAACCTATGGGTGGACCCAATCTTAGAAATAATAGTTCTAAATAATTTAAGGAAATACTAAATTTCAGTGAGTGGTTAGTGAAAAATCCAAGATGTTATTTTTTTTTCCTTTCATCTAAGTTTATAGAACCACCCCCTATCCCCTGAAAAAAAAATCAATCCACAGACCCCAGGTTAAGAACTAGATAGAGGGGCAGCTAGGTGGCAGCTAGGTGGCGTAGTGGATAGAGCATGGGCCCTGAAGTCAGGAGGACCTGAGTTCAAATCTGGCCTCAGACCAAACACTTGACACTTACTAGCTGTGTGACCCTGGGCAAGTCACTTAACCCCAATTGCCTTAAAAAAAGGAAAAAAAAAAGAACTAGATAGAGGGGTAGATAGAATTGAATGAGACTAGATAGATGGGCAGTCCTTTCTTGCTCTATGCATAATTTTGATTTTTCCTTATGTTAAATAGCAAGCTAAGAATTCCAACATCCTAAGGGGGTGGGGGTGGGGATGGGAAAGCATCCCCCCACAAAAGACCACTTACACATAACAAGCAGACAACTGAAAAAGAGCAGCTTCAGGAGTCATGTATTCTATTAACTAAAAAGATGGGACAAGCTTAAAAATTGTTCAGAGACCACTACAAAACGAGTTTTATTTGTGAAATAAGTTGAAATAGCATCAGCATGGAGGAGCATCTGAACAGCAAGGTTAGGTATTGGGACACTGTCCTCTAGAATAAAGAGAACTTTATATCTAAGAACCTAAAAGCCACAAGCATGACTTATGTGGAAGAGCTTTGTTGTTCTGAAATTATCTCGGGCTTTTTCTTTAACCTTAATTTCCCCTGGCTTTGCATTTCCTAATTGTGTTCTCTCTAGGAGAACTTTCATGATTTTTCATAAGCCCTGGGTTATGTTATGGAAATTTTTCTGGGCCTGCCTTGTGTTTATTTTGATGTGATGCTCAATTCTTCTTCAAGAAAAGAATATGCTTATTTTGCTGTCTGCCCCACAGTGACCCCAGTGAGAAGGGACTGTCATATATCTGCCTGACTGTTGTTCTCTTCTCTCGGTGCTGGTAAGGAGAGGAGGGACACAGACAGCCCCTGCTGCCTGAAGAATTAAAGATCTTCTGATAACCTCTCATTTTGTCAGCTGGAGGGTGGATTACAAGGAAAGACAGATATATTCCCCACTGTATTTGCGTCCCTGCTCTACCACATGTTAAAAGAGTGGCTCCAAAAACCAACCCCCCAGAATGTTAAATTTGCCTAATTTCAATTCTTGGGTAATCCTGAGACAAGTCTATTAGGCCCATCTGCCCTTCAGAACCTAAATCACACTATCAGACTCTGGTTGTTAGGACTGCTTATCCGTCCTTGACTAATGGATCTAGCTGGGTTGGCAGAGGCAAACCGTAAAGAGGGCTGGGCCTCAAATCATGTGTACGGCTAAGATAATGAACTTCTTGACCTGACCTTTTCCTTATCCCTCTGTTGCTAAAAACAGGAGATAACCATTCTCCAACAGCTAACTGCTATTTCTTCTAATTATCTCTTGAATAATTCTTCACATAAATTCTATGGCTTGGGTTTACTGGCTCCTCACAGTCCTTCCTTTTAATGGAAATGGTTATTTGAAAAACTTCTGAATTACTGAGAGGCAGCATGAAGTAGTGAAGAGAGCTGGCCTCTGAGTCAGGAAGATCTGCATTCGAGTCCTGCCTCGGGCACATGATGGCTGTAGGATTCCAAGCAAGTCACTTAATCTCTCAGTTCTCTGGGTCAGTTCTCTGGACTTACAAGGCACATAGAGGGTGATGATGTGCATTGTTAGAAGCTGTTCTCTAGATTAATGAAATCACAGATCCAGCCCCTTTCCCCTATTTCAATAATCTGGGCCAAGACTCTTCCTGGAAGATAATTTAAATTTCAAAGACATTCATGTTTGCATATCAACTAGCATGCCCCAAATGATGTATAAGAGGGATACTTACTTATATCTCAGAAACAGCCACTGGGTAATCCATAACCCAAATAATATCATCCCATTTATTTCTGATACAGAAAATGCCCATTTCACTCGATCAATGTAATCGAAGAACTTGTCCGGTAGTGGAGGGCTGAGCTCCTTGGGAGGCACCCTCTCATGTACAACTGTGATCATGACGGTCGTCAGGATTAGGTTGAATAGGGCATAGACAAAAGCAATGCCTGTTTTCCACCATTCTAGGGGAAATTTGTTCCTTGCTTCAGCGGGCATAGAAATTTGAATATAGTCCGGGTACTTTTTGGCACCCTTTCGCAAGCCGTTGGATAAGCTCTTGGGTTTGCCATTGCCATTTTTATTGTCTTCATCAGTAGGTTCAGTAGGTCTTGTGTAACTATTTGCAGGGTCATTGGTTTGATTTTCCATATGTTCTTCAAGCTTTGCTGTCTCTATGACATCCATTGCCCTTGACCTTCACCCAAACAGGGAAGTGGTGGTAACTTTTATTTCTCCTCAATTTCTGTCCTATTTTTTTTTCTTTGATCTCTGCACTTCTAAGATGACCATACACTTGTTTATGGCTGACTTTGTTTTCTAATACAACAAGGAGATGTTAGCCATCTGATTTTTTTTTCTTTTCATCCAGGATCCACTGTTGATGCCCCAACTTCAGGAAAAGAAGCCAAATCTTCTTCTCCAAGAGATGTTAATATCCCATCTGCAAAACAAAAGCAAAGACTATAGTCAGAAACTGTACCCATCTGACAATTCAAATTTAAAGTATCGTCAGAATAAGGAAACAAATACCAAGCCAGTCACTTAAGATAACATCAACTGTTGGAAAAGTTACTTATAACCTATAGAAATATCTTGGAATTATAGTCCTTCTCTGGTTTGATGTCAATTCAGTGAGAATAGTCTAGCAATCAATTTGCTGTCCTTCAAATAAAGGCAGAAACCAACATCTCAAGCATTTTATCCCCAGTCAATAATACTGGTTGCTAACAATGAGGTCATAATAAGCCAGAACCTCTACAATAACCACATCGCTAACAAGACTAGATTTTCCTTTGTGCATAAAGAAAATACCAACATTTCCATTAAAGGAAATATATTCAGTAAATACATGTTACTTCATTCGTTTTCCAGAACTCTTTAATTTCTGGCTCCAAATTGGTACTTAATCAAAGGGCTTCTTTTAAGGTATTTAAAAACCAAATCATGGAATATTTTACAAGACACTTGAAATAGTATTACTTGTTAAAAAAAAAAAACAACTTTTCATCCCAAGAGATCCTCTCTATGCAGAAGGCAAGTGTCAAGTCATAATAACAGAAATGCAGAAAAGTCTATTCTCTTTCATTTGGTTACTAAGTAGAAATCACCAGCATTTGTTAAACTCGACATAATGTAATTCATATCTAAAAACACTTGAGCTCAAAATCACAGATGCTTTAAGGGGAAAAAAAGGGGGGGGACACCAGAATAACAATGGAAAAGACTCATATTTTAACTACCGTCTAAGTGCTGACTTACCCAAGAGTCTGTAAGAAAAGGACAAACTTCAGCTGATCGCTGCTTTAGAACCCATCAATGACTGAAAATGTTTCACTGGGACCTGGAGCATCACTACCAGACCTCTTTTTTATACTGGCTAACATCACTGACCCTTTATTCAGGAAAAGAGTTTTTGGTCATGATCCGCAGCCCTCACAAAAACCTGTAATTATTCCCCACCCTGAACATTTATACACTGTAAGCAGAATGCTTGTTCACATCTAAGGTTTCTCAAAGGCTATCCCTATCTGTGCCTGTCTGGAAATAGAAGAAGGAATCATGAGTGATGACAGCTAGCCTTCTCGTTAATGGAGGAGAAAAAAAGGTGTGTTTTGAAACCAATATATTCAATGTGTATCAGCAGGGCTTTTTTGAAGTACTGAGAAAATCAAATAAGGATTAGACTCAGTAAATGAATTAGTGTAAGACGTGAATCTTATATCTTCTACATTCTAGCTAGGGAGATAGAATTAACACACATAATAAAAAGATAAGTTAAACAATGGGGCAGCTAGGTGCCACAGTGAATAGAGCACCAGCCCTGGGGACCCAAGTTCAAATTACTAGCTGTGTGACCCTGGGCAATTCACTTAATCCAGACTGCCTCAAAAAAAATAAATAAATAAAAGTTAAACCATGTGGTTTGGAATAAAGAGAGACTGATATGGGTTGTTAAAATTTGGGAAGTTTTCATGAAGGAAAACAGGACTTGGGCTAGGACTTGAAAGATAACTGTTCATTGCATGGATGAATCAATGATGGTTTTAAAGGATCACTAGGAATTAGGTAGATGGGAGGCAGAGGATTCTAGTTAGGTGAAAACAGCACTGAGTAAAGGCACTGAGCTAACACTAATTACAACCTGTTTAGAGGAGCGCATAAGCATAGGAACTCCCGTTTATATAAGTGCCTTAAAGTTTGACAAGCCCTTTTACACATCTTGTCTAATGTAATCCTCACAGTGCCTCTGTGGAAGGGCTGTTATCTCCATTTTACAGAAGAGAAAAATGAGGCTCAGAAAGGCTGCCCAGTGGTCACAACAAAAGTTAGTATCTGAGGCGGGAATGTAATGAAGACTTTCATGAGTCTAGGACTCTATCGTGAGATTGCTTCCAGGGAGAAGCAGTAGGAAATCATTGGACCACCAGGGTGGGTGATGAAAGACCCTAAAGTCCAGGCAGAGGAGTTTTTGTGTAGCACATTACTAGCTGTGTGACCCTGGGCAAGTCACTTAACCCCATTGCCTAGCCAAAAAAAAAAAAAAAAAGAAAATGATGTAGCATAGGACTAGGCAAGCTATGTTCTGTCTGCTGCTTGCTTGTTATTCTAAGGACCCCAGCCATCTAAGAATGTATTTTACTGTATTCAAAACAAAACAAAACAAAAAAGCCTACAGGGATTTTGCCCTTGGGGGATATAGTTTGACCTTGGGGGATATAGTTTGTCATCTCAGGTTACAGAACAGAGTAATGACATGAAGAAAGAAATGTTTGGTGACTCAGTGGATAGAGCACCAGCCCTGGAGTCAGGAGGACCTGAGTTCAAATCCAGCCTCAGACACTTGACACTTACCAGTCGTGTGACCCTGGGTAAGTCACTTAACCCCAATTGCCTAGCCTAAAAAAAAAAGAGAAAAGAAAAGAAAAGAAATGTTTTGTAAGACTAGCTGGGCAATGCTAAGGGGGGAGAAAGAAAAAGACTGGAACCTCAGGTGACCAGCTAGCAGATTCCCAGTTTCTTTTTCTTGTTCTCTTGCAGGAATGGAGTGGGGGGAAGTTGGGGGAGACCTTGTTGGGTTTGGCAATTAGGAAGATACTAGTAGGCTGCAAGGTTGCTATTTCAGTGAAGTAGGAAGGTTAGGAGTCAGAATATTCTATAAAGATTGAAGACAAAGGGAGTAAATACAGGCTACTCTTTCAAGAAAGTTAGTTAAAAAAAAAGGGAGGAGAGAGATGAGACAGTAGCTTAAGGGCATAGAAAGTTCAAAGGAAGGCTTTGTTTTGTTTTGTTTTGTTTTTTTAAGCTAGGGAATACATGAGTCTATTTGTAGGGTAGAAGAAAGGGTATCATTAGAGAGGGAAACTCTGAAAGGAGGGGTATAGATGATGGAGGTAGGTCCTGAGGAAGGATGGAAGGGGAGGAGATCAAGGGCACAGGGAGAGTGGTGAAATCTGTCAACAGACAAACTGAAACCAATCATTACCAAGGTCTTTCAATTCTACCTCTATATGACACCTCCCTCTTCCATTCTCTCCTCTCTCCACCCACTGCCATCACTCTGGTCTAGGTCCTTCATTTCCACCCATCCAGACTGTTATGATATCCTCCCTCTAGGCATTTCTCTCTTTCCTCTCTTCTTGTTCTAATCTGTTCTTCATATCACTGCTGAAATCAGCTCACTCATATATACATCTGGCCATATAGAGTGTACATAACATCTGACACACGTGCGTCACTGCTTTCCTCAGCTTCAGATTCCTTGTATGGCATTCAACGACCTTTACTCTCCAAGGACCCCTCCCCTCTTCTTCCTAACCCTCCAAGGCTTACCTGACATGACTACCTTTTTAGCACTACATTCATACTGGCCAACTCTCATTGATCACACAATTTAAAGTTGTGAGGGATTAGAGGCTCTGTCCCACAAATTTACCACACATGCTCATACCCCTGTGTGAACTCCTTCCCCATCTTTATCTGGTAAATTCCTCCCTGGTTTTCATAGTCCAAATCCTCCATGAAAAGCTCTTTCTTATGTTCCTGGTCATGGTAACAACCTTGCCCCCCTCAGACCTTACATAATACTTTGTTCTACAGACCTCTAATACTGGTATCATGCAATGCTATGTCTAGATAAGATAATCAACCTCTCTGGACCTCAGTTTCCTCATCTTCGAAAAGAGGATGTTAGAACAGATGACCTCTAAGATTTCTTCAAACTCGAAATCTGTTTGACCTATGGAACTGTCTTCCTCCATGCTGGCTACAGGGGGTAAGAATCTTTAAGCCTACTGGAGCTGTCCAATGCTAACTGGTAGCGGTCACAGAATTACTGAAGAATTGTTGGTGTCTTAGCCTCTACTTAAGTACCACAAGGCTATGTCTTATCTTGTGTCCTCTTCAGCACCTAGAACAGTCCTATGCACAAAGAAGTCACTTAAACTTGTTAAACGAATTAATGAGTGAGTTATCCTGGAGAACGGAAAGTTGAGGCAGCTTATACTGGATGGCTTCAAGTTTCTCAATAAAGGGAGGTGCCAGTGGACTTGAGCAAAGTGGAAATGGTCTGGACCAGGTGGTGTAGGTCTGTAATTAGTTGGTGCTATTAAATGACTCTCTGGCGATGTTAGGTGGCCCATAGCAAAAGAGGCAGCAGGGTGGGTGGAAACAATGCTGTCTTTGATGTGAGAGGCCATGGGCCTGAATTCCAGCTCTGTCTGTATGACTTATACAAAATCAATTAATTTCTACAGGCCTCAGTTTTCAAATACGACTGGAGCTGATGATCTTTAAGTGGCACAGTGGAGAGTAATGGATTGGAATCAGGAATACTTTTCTGGAGTTCAAATCTGGCCTCAGACATTTACTAGCTGTGTGACCCTGGGCAAGTCACTTAAGCTTGCCTGCCTCAGTTTCCTCATCTGTAAAATGAGCTGGAGAAGGAAAGGGCAAGCCACTCCAGTATCTTTGCCAAAAAATCCCCAGGGAATTTGGGGTCACAAGGAGTCAGACATGACTAAGATAACTGAACAACAGCAAATTCCCTTCCCCTGTAAATCTACAATGTGTTAAATGCTCAACACTGGATAGGTTACCTGGGGTTAAAGATGGACAGATGATCTGGGGGTGGGTATGACTATGGGGCCCCCAACTAGGCAGGGAAACTAATGAATCCAGGGCAAAGATGACAGTGGGAGAAAAGAAGGGCTGAGGAATAATCATAAGGAAAATAGATGAGTGACAAAGCAGGAAGGATGAGAAGACAGGAGATTAGTAGTGGAATATAAGCTCTTTGAGGACAAAGCAAATCTCAATTTGTTCAACAGTACAACAGTACAGGCACACAGTAGGTGTCTACTAAATGCTCACATGGTACAGGGAAGAGAGCACGGACAACGAAGTCAGAAGGCTTCAAGACCGCTTCTGATGCTCATTACAAGT